ATTGTGTCACTTTCTGTGTGCAGTGTTTCCACTGTAAAGAATAGAAGCTCTCAGCTCAGCCTTCACCATCACAGTGAGTCAGAAGTGAAGACGCGGAAGAAGAGGTGTTAGTTGAGTTCACCGAGTTCCACAGACGACCGTTATATTTAACACCAACATTTTAATTCATGCAATTAAATCAGTTCAAGTTAAAGATACACAGGTCGTAAAAGTTCAATTTTACCAAAGCATACCCTCTGAAAACCAACTCTATGAGGCTACATTTTAAGTACTATCAGTTTTGTAAATTTCCTAAATTTTTCTTGACATTTTTCTGTATTAATATATTCTTTTGTATTAGTCACAAATAAAAACTAGTGTAAAACACACACATCTACCTGCTGTTTTTGGCCTCTGTTCCAGTGATACAAGAAAGAGCATTTTTGTCATATTTAGAAAAGTGGATTTATCTCAAATAATCATGATAAAGTACGATTAATCCACAGCCTCAGAGTGATTAATCAGACTAAAAAAAAAAGATAATTTGACAGCACTAATGTGAAGAGAAAATGAGTCATTGATTAAAGACATTGTTTTGTGCACTTACTTTAAAAAATACTGTTAATGCACCAAGGACATTTACTTTTAACTTAACTCTGAAGTACTTCTAAAGGTGACATTCTGGCATCAATGGTTTTTTATTGCATTTATTTGATGCTTCAGACTCCGGTGATAGAAAAAAAACTCTAACTTTGGTTCTTTGGACTTCACTGTCTGGAAACGATTTAAAGTAAAAATGTTCTTTAGTGTTCGGTACAGTTTCACCTCTCATTGGTTGATGTGTATGCAAAAAAACTGCTCGATGACTTGTTTGTATCTCGAAATACTCGTACGTTGAGGTGCTCGTATCTCGAGGTTCCACTGTGCTGAATAATACCTTTAACATGTAGTGATTAGTGGATGTTTTACGGCCTTCGGTCTTCAGCCTGGTTCTTGTTAAATGAATGACACAGAATGCTCCGTTTGGTCTCTAACCCTGTCTCAGTGCAGTAAAATACGAGTCCAGTATACTTTTACCGCAAGCCCAAAAAGGCTCAGTGAGTGGAACGACGCCAAGAGTGCACAATCTTCTAAAACAGTGCTTTTACATAAATAACTGAAAATGTTTTCATTTCGTTTCCTGGTCCAAAATGTCAAAAAAACACACATAAAGTAGGCAATAAAAAAAAGAAAATTGAAAATGCTGTGGATACACTTGTTCGTTGATCATTTACCACTCTTATGTTTTGATATATTTATATTATTTTGATGACTGTAGGTTTAATGATTACACTCTATTTGTATAAATATATGTACTGTATATATAAAACTAAATATAACTATAAATAACCTCAGGTCCATTATACAAAATAGCCTGTATTTTGACAAATATATATTCATTGTATGCACTACTGCACAACATCGGCTCCTTTTTTCACATGTCAGTGATATTGTCCTGTGCCTCTGTGTATAATAACACGGCTCATATGGCTCAGAAAGAGAGAGAGAGAGAGAGAGAGAGAGTGACATTCATTTCCCTCACGAGCGTCTCCACCAACAGGAAAGCGCCGCTCGCACTCAATAAACAACAGCAGAGAAGCGCACACGTGTTGACAGGCTGCGTCCTGATGATGTCCAATCAGCAGACAAGAGGCAATAAATGGACACTGGCTGTCAGTGACAGGGAGAGAGAGAGAGAGAGAGAGAGAGAAGGGAGGAGGAGGACGAAGAGGGGAAGAAATTACGGTCTGGCCCGGATAATGAAGAGACAGAGAAAGTGTAGATCTGAGGACGCAGGAATGAAGAGACAGAGAAAGTGTAGATCTGGGGATGCGGGAAGGAAGAAGAGATAAAATAAATAAAGGACAAGAGCAAGGAAACATGTAGGAATGAATAGAGAGAGATAAAATAAATAAAGGACAAGAGCAAGGAAACATGTAGGAATGTCATTCTCATTAGATCCAGAGGCCGTGGCTGTCATTCCTCTTCATGAGTATGTCAGCACTACAGGATGAAAAGGAGAGTGAGTGGGAGGTCAGAGAGGGAGGTTAGGGGGGAGGTCAGGGAGTGTTACAATAAAGGTTCACTGAAATGAGAATAAGACGAAGAATTTATATCATCCATCCATCATCCATCTATTTTCTAGCCCTAGATTAAACTGCTGCAAAGCCTGTCATTTTTCAACCAATTGAAATAGATCTACATTTTTTTAATTATATTTTTTCACAGATGCCATTTTGTTTGGGGGAATAGATTTTCTTTTCGAAGCAGTTCCATCATCAGTGTAACTAATAAAGTGGCTACTTAATCAGTATGTTGTGTTTTTGTGCATCACGAGGTGAAACGTTTTTTTTTTACAAAAATGTTTACGTTTTTGTTTTCCACCTCCAACAATAGCCTCGAAAGCAGCAGCTACAGCGGGCCGTAGATCACTGACGGCACCGGTGCCAAGTTAACAGTAGGCAGCCTGTGTTTATCTTCAGGGGAGAGGTGTGAGGGAATCATGAGAGGAAACGATGATGCGTCACTGAGCCAACAGATGCCAGAGAGGCAGGGAGGGAAGAGCAGGACAGAGAGGAAGGAAGAGGAAAAAGAGGAATGGAGGATTTGTTTGTCTTTTTTTCATGCACCGAGTGCCTCTCAACAGGAACGCCTTCTTTCCTCGGTGTCTGCTGTTATGACAGCACCTCCATAGAGTGTCATTTGTGTACAGATACAGTACAGAGGGGGTGATGGAGGACCGGAGGGGGGAGGGGGGAGAAAGGGAGGAGAGGAGAGGCAGATGAGGTGAAAATAACTCAAAGCAACAACAGACTGGCAGCTGGACAGAAGTGCAGCGCAGCAGAGACGAACGCAGACATTCAGACGACTTGACTCATCTCTGTGATGTCACATCTTCTGAGAAGTGTGTATTGCGCTGCGCTGACTTCCTGCAGTTGGCAGTGATGAGTAATGTCATGTTTCACAAAGCCTATATTTCCGATACACATGAATACGCCTGCTTTACTCACTGCTGGGAGCGGCCAGAACTTTTTTTTTTCTTGTCCAGCTTCTGTATCACTGTACAGTACAGTTTTATTTATTTGTTTTTCTCTGAAAATATGTGAGGAATTTGACTGGGAAACTTGATATGAACCAGCGTTTATTTTGACAGTGAACCTGGTTCAGTCTCAGTCTTTTGACTAAAATTGAACTTGGTCTTAGTCCCTAGTTTAGTAGAAAAAATGTAGTAATAAATTCAAGATGACTAAAAAGCAACATCCTAATTTCTGTTTTTGGTTTATAAAATTAACTCCTTATAAAACCTTAATTGGACTTAATGGCATTCTCTTAGGAAATTATGTTATATGTAATAATGATAATAATAATAATATCTGACAGCATTATTATATTATTCATTAACAATACACATACAACTTAATTGGACTTAATGGCATTCTCTTAAAATATAGTATTAACACCAATTTTACATTTCAGTAAATCTCAAGATGACAGGCCTCTAGATAACGTTTCATATGTATTGTATTTTTTTTCATTAATTAAAAAAATGTTTTCTTTCTTAAGTCTAAACTGCAAAAACATTACGTCAACGCCATCTATGTTATTGATTGTGACTCTGTCCTGTCGTTCCAGGAGTCCTTGGCGCAGACACAGAGGAACGACTGGTGGAGCACCTCCTTAACCCCGCCCACTACAACAAACTGATCCGTCCGGCCACTAACGCCTCTGAGCTGGTGACTGTGCAGCTGATGGTGTCGCTGGCCCAGCTCATCAGTGTGGTGAGTGTGCAGTGACTGGGCCTGGACCTTTAAAGGCCAGGCTGTTATTCACCCTAATGACTTTGATCAACAAATATCTGTTTATGACAACTGAGCCGAGCAGAACAAAAGAAATGCTGAGGGGGCGCTCTATCCTTGTGGGGTCATTGTCAGGTCTCCGCTGAGGGGGAGGATATCAGTCAAGTCTTCAGTAATAAAGAAGTTGATAACAGTGACAAATGACCTAAAACAACATTTTTAACCTAAAAGGTCTCGTCATACGAACCTACATTTCACTACTGTCCAATGAAATTCCATTAGGTTGCAAAATAAATGCAGAAAGATCGAACAGGCACAGATCCAGCTCTGCCATAGCAGAATAAGACACAAAATCAATCTGAAACCAACTAAATTGCTTATCCTGCCTCCCCACCTCAATCAACAAACCAAATTACTGTAAGAACACCACTGCCTGCAGAAAAACCAATAAAATCACTAAATCATTCCCGGCTCTATGTGGGTATAATCCAATGTGGATTTCTGCACTTGCTCAACAACAAAGGATAATCCAGTATTTGTCCGAATGTGGATTTCTGCACTTGCTCAACAAGGGTAAAGGATAATCCAGTATTTGTCCACTAAGTGGGAGAAAGTGGCTCACCTCTTTCACTAGTAAACCCATTACTGGACTCTCAGTAATGAGGTCGAAAATTCAATTCCACTCATCAGAGGCTAAAGTTGTCGAGTCGGTTATCCTATTGACCATTTAACCAATTAATCTAATGTTTTGCTTTTGTCCAAATGACAAAAAGACAAAATGACAAAGTCAATAGATTTTTTTTACATTTAAAATAACAATGAAAATGTTAATATCAATATTAATGAGTTACTGTAATTTGAAGTATTTTATAACTGTGTCTAAAGTTAAACAGACCTGGAGTATTACATGTATATACATATGTATATGTGTGTATTATAATAATCCACGTCTAATATCGCCAACCGCCAGACATTATCGTCTACTTTGCTCATTTGAACGCATCAATGTATTTGACAATATTAGCACAGGTTCCGTCTGTCTTAACCTTACGGTTAAAGCAATATATAAATATATATAAATTATTTACTCTTATAAAAAGTAAATGAATAGCAACCATGTTCGTACTACTGCATTGTATTTCAGTTATCGACCACATAAAAGTATTATGAATTGTTTACATTACCGTTCGTCGGCTCTGCTCCGTGGACTTCTGCGGACGACTTCCGGCTTCATAATATTTCTTTTCGTGACCTCCGAGCCAAGGTGTAAAGTAAACCTTTTACACTGCAGCTTAATGTGGACCAACATTATCGACACTTTTCTGACTTTTTCTTCTTTCCCTTTTCACGGCTTTGCTCCGTATTGTTGCTATTTGCGGCACTGGTTTTGAACCTGTGCGTCAGTCAAATGCGTCCGTGTGAAACACCTGCCGAGCTGCCGTTGACGACCGTTTCATTTTTTATTTTTCTAACGATGCGTCAAATGGCTTCTTCTTATTATTATTATTATTTTTAATTCCCGTCAGAAGTTCAACCATTTCTAATCAGCCATCTTTCATTACGCCTCTATATTTTAGTAATTAATTTCCCCAGGCTGTTGTTAGAAGCAATTCATTTATTAAACGTATGGAGGTTATGTGTTTAACATCTTAGAAAAACAGGAGAGCCTATATTTGTTTGCTGTTAATTCTTTCCTTGTATTTAACTCTTTTTTTTTTCTTTTTCTTTTTACTTCCTCTGTTGACTCACATTCAGTCACCGGATCATGCAGTGATGAGTATGAGCTGAAGGCTCTGACTGCTCATTCTGGAATATTCCAGTGGTTTGGTTTGTTGATGTGCAGATAAAGAGGTCATTTGAAGACATAAACACAACATTTTACCAAGCATCTCTTCCCCCTTTTTTTTAACCATATGTGTCCACTCTCACTTCCTTTTACGCCATCACCAGGGCTACTTCCTTTCACATAACACAGCAAAATTTCGAAAGCCTAAATTTAATTCACATGCTCAGTTTAGTGCATTAACTGAACAACAGTTACTATATTAAAAACAGTTAATAGTGCTACGGTTTCCGCGGCAGAGCTTTTTAAAAGTCTGATCATTTCCATGATAATATAATCACAATTACTGAATCAGGATTTGAGTTGGAGGAGAAGATCCTCGCGTTCTAAAAGCCTGTCTTTCCAACCTCAGCACATGGAGTTTGTAGACACTCACATCAACCAAGCAGGAAGACGCTAATGAAAGAGGCTATCAGGTTTCGTATTACTAAGTGCTGGAGCCATTACTTTTCAAGCATGACTCAGCCCATGTGCTGAAGCTCCGGATATCCTGGACTCAGTGCAATTGTAATATGGCATTTAAAATATACTCTATGTGCTATATATATATATTACCTATATCTGTTAGTGATGTATAGTAATATTGTGTCACACTATCACGCTAACTTTGATTGTCCTTATCTGCAGCATGAAAGGGAACAGGTGATGACCACCAACGTCTGGCTCACACAGGTAAGACAAATAATTAAAAAAAAAAACAACAACCTCACGTTGAACAACTTGGCTCACACAGGTAAGACAAATAATTACATTGAAAAACAAAACTCGACCTTACGTTGAACAACAGAAAGGGTTTGCAATTTTGCATTAGCATGAACAGTAATGTGGCTACAGTAGCTGGTGAGCAGGCTGCTGCATGTTTGTCCTCGGACAGTGAAGGCAGCTGGGATTGAACTGACCCAGAACTGATTGATTAGTTTGGCTATTGAACGATCAGATGGAGAGGACGAGAGAGGTTTGAGAGCCGGATGAAAACAGAGTCCCAGACAGTGGGATTCAGTACGTTAGTGTCAGCCATAAATGCTTCATTATAGACGAGGGTTTGGTCAGGTTTTCAGTTTGAATTCAAGAATATGAAATGTGTTTCTTTAGAACTTTTTAATCTGAAATGCTGATCTGACGTCTCATGGCGACGTTTGGATGAGATCTAGAACGATCTGACCTCGTGGAACCTCTGAATAATGCAAGTCTGATTGAATCGTGGCCTTTTTCTACATGGCTGTCTCTCTCTCTCTCTCTCTATAATTCCTACAGCTGAGCCCATTAGAACGACGGAGCGTGAATGTTTCTGCAGAGCAAACAAACGTTTCACTTTTCTGTTTTTGTTTGTTTTAGCCTGTAGCACAATACGAAAGGGCGTGTTTGTGATCATTTGTAGAATAAATGTTTTGTTGTCAACATTTAATTTACTTTCTTTAAGTCCACAAAGACACACACACACAGATACAAACAAACTGAGGAGGTTAGGCCCAGGGACGACCATCAGAATCCCATGGTTCACCACTAGGGGGACTCAAAGGACAAACAAACAAGAGCCACTAGAGAAACTCTAACCGACTAGAGTACATCAGAGGTACTGCAGACGACCTGCAGTACCGTGCTACTTCCTGCTCCAACATGGCAGTTACATTTAAATCCACACGTTCATCCTGTTACAGGTTAGAGGCCTCAGCGAGGTGACGTCAAAGACCGACCTCCAACGTACGGAACACGATGATGCCGCCGCCGCTACACACAAGGTCACACGCAGGATGTAGAAATATTTGCTGATGCGCATATTTGCCTACAGCCAGGTGCAGCCGTGCTGCAGAGTTCACTGCCATGATACTGTTTGGTTTGTGGCCAAAAAGGGAAAATGTATATGTAAATACAGAGAGAACAGGTGCAGTGCAGTCGTCCATGAAGGTCCACAGTAGTACTGTGTGTACGGTACTTTCAGCTGTGGTAGAAGTACCTCTGACCGACCTTTCACTCAGTGCTGTGTTTGTTTGTTTGGTTTTTTTTTTTGGTATTTCAGGAGTGGCAGGACTATCGTCTGACGTGGGTGCCTGAGGAGTTTGATGGGATGCTGAAGGTCAGGCTGCCCTCCAAACACATCTGGTTGCCTGACGTGGTCCTTTACAACAAGTAAGTCTCTCACTCTGCCTGTACTGTACATTCCCCCCCCCCCCATACTTTCAGTATCTCAGAGTGCACAGTAATTACTCATCGATAACATGCGAGGACTCGGTTCAACGCCGCCTCAACTGCCACACACTGCGTCCGCAGATCTCACGAGACGCTTCAAAGATGGACTCATCCGCATTACTGTATAGATAAGCACATGCAGTACATGACAGTACTGCATGTACACGCATGAGCGGAATAAAAGCCCCTCCACACAATTTCACACATGCTAACACGCACCGCTCCTTTTTTTTTACTGTGTTGTATAAATGTATGCGTGGATGTATTATAGTTGTAGTTATTTATACTCAGGTTGCAGTACAGCATGTACACAATCAAGAAAATCTGCAAGAAATACTTCAGAAAAAAGACTTTTTTAATATTTTTTAAAGAAAATGGAAGATTTTGGGGGAAAAAAATGATGCAATTTTAATATGATTGTAAGTTAAGGTTTGGGAGAGGACAAAGGTTAGGGTCAGTAAATAGTGCGGTGTGCAGAGGTGTATCAACACGGCCGTCTGTCTGATGGACGTGTCCGAGGAGCTCACAGGACACTTAATGTCGTCTTAATGTAATGGAAACCCAGTGTCAGCCGGCGGTGCAGCGGCTCAGTGATCTGTCTGGCCTTCTCCTCTTTCCTCAGTCCTTCCTTCGGTGAAGATTAAAAGATCTCCGACCCGACTCACTCTGGATTAAATGATCCTGATAATCCCATGTTCCCCAGGTCGACTGACTTTACTCTATGACTTTTCCTACAAAACTCCTTTTTTATCATTGTACATATATACACGCAATGAAATATGTCAACAAAAGTGGTGGGCAACGCAACACAGGATCCTCCAATCACAAGCCGGATCCTTTCGGCCGTGGGTTGCCCTAAATCGGGGTCTGCAACCGGTGCAACTCCTGGGCCACAGATGACACTTCAGCCTCCTTGCATTGGCTCCTTGTCTGATGATATTAGGATTTGTGAATTATTACACCAATCATCCATTCATTACTTATACGTCCTCTTGACCAGAGCAAGTGGTAGATAGCAGTGAAACCTGAACTTTTGAGAGTTTTGAGAAGGGTTTGTCAGTACGATTCTGTATGTGTAGTATATGTCTGATCGTCCCTTGTTCCTTAAGTCCCTCATGTCCTTTTCACTGTGTCTCCCAGCGCCGATGGAGTGTACGAGGTGTCCTTCTACTCCAACGCGGTGGTCTCCTACGACGGCAGCATCTTCTGGTTGCCCCCAGCCATCTACAAGTCGGCCTGTAAGATCGAGGTCAAGCACTTCCCCTTCGACCAGCAGAACTGCACGCTGCGCTTCCGCTCCTGGACCTACGACCGCACGGAGATCGATCTGGTGCTGCGGGCCGACGTGGCCAGCATGGACGACTTCACGCCGAGCGGAGAGTGGGACATCATCGCCCTGCCAGGCAGACGAAACGAGAACCCGGCGGACCCCGCCTACGTGGACATAACGTACGACTTCATCATCCGCAGGAAGCCCCTTTTTTACACCATCAACCTCATCATTCCCTGTGTTCTCATCACCTCGCTGGCCATTCTGGTCTTCTATCTGCCCTCGGACTGTGGAGAGAAGATGACGCTGTGCATCTCAGTGCTGCTGGCCCTCACTGTCTTCCTGCTGCTGATCTCTAAGATCGTCCCGCCCACTTCGCTGGATGTCCCCCTGGTGGGGAAGTACCTGATGTTCACTATGGTCCTGGTCACCTTCTCTATCGTCACCAGTGTGTGCGTTCTCAACGTGCACCACCGCTCACCAACCACACACACCATGCCACCCTGGGTCAAACTGATCTTCCTCAACAAGCTCCCTGCCCTGCTCTTCATGCGCCAGCCCAGGAACAGCAGCGAGCGGCAGCGGCTGCGTCAACGACGGAAAACCCAGGAGCCAAAAGAGGGCGGGCGTGGGGGGGAGGCGGGAGGCCTGATGGCGAGTCTAGGGATAAGCAGTGCCAGCGGAAATGGAGGGGGGAGCTCCACGGGGGTCTTTGCCAAAGAGGACAACGACCCCTGTACCTGCTATGTCAACCGAGCGTCTGTCAAACAGTTCGGAGGAGAGCTGGGCGGAGCCAAAGGCGGCTCCATGGATGGTTTGAACAGAGTAAAGGACGGCCGGGATGGGGGCACTGGAAACCTCCAGAGGGGGCAGCAGAGCGCAGGGGGCCCCGCTTTGACTCATGCCCTGTTGGCTCAGGCCTGTCCTGGCTTTGAGGAGGCGGTGGAAGGAGTTCGCTTCATTGCCAATCATATGAAGAGTGAGGACGACGACCAAAGTGTGAGTGATATTGATTATTTGATCAGATGTAACTTTGTTGTAGAATAAAAATGTAGGAATTGTGGGAAATCCGATTGATTGTTAAGTTTTTACCTGATGAATAATGATTTAATTTTTATTTATTTATTCACATTTGTTAATGTAAAACATTTTCTAAAGTCAAAAGTCAATGAAAAAGTTAAGAGACAAAGTGGAGAAACAGGCTGGTGACGCCGACTGCTTCTGTTTATTTCTCTCCGGTTCCGTCTATAATGTTAGTCATATCAACCTGCCATCGCGTCGCTTCTGTTTTTCTGATCCTCTAAATAGGATGGTATACACACATACACACACGCACACACACACACGTCCCAGATCACAGATCTGTCTCCTCATGTATAAGTGATGATGGAGCTCGACAGCCGTAACGCTCACAGCATCAGCATCGGGGACAAACAGACTGATGCAGTCAGATCCTGCTAAATATTCCACACACACACACACAGAGGCAGTTAAAGAAGCAGCATGACGTGAGCAACAAAAAAAAGGAGGAGGATGAGGAGCAGGAGGAGGAGGAGGAGGAGGAGGAGGAGGAGGAGGAGGAGGAGCCAAGGAAACAGAGTGAAGGTGGCATTTTTACTGCTTCTCCTCTGGGCATGTTTAGAGAGCAGGCTTCCTGACAGACAGACAGTGACGGAGGAGTTACGGTCGTCCGACCCTCACACCCACTCCGCTTAAATCACTCCTGTCCTAAACTCTGCATTAAGCCGTCGTTGCCGTGGTCACTGCCTCCCTCTCCTCCCTCCCCCCTCCCTCAATCTCCCTTCTCCCATCCCTCTCATCCGTCTCTCCCTCGTCCTTCTCCTCCTCCTTGACTCGTGCTGGACCTCATCAGTGCTCTGTGGCAGAACCGGTCTCTGCTCACATTAACCCCTCACCCCCATTAACACCCCCTCGTAGATAAAGGCGAAGCAAGAAGACAATGGGAGGATGTGGGCGAGTGTAGATTCTGCTCACTGTAATCTTTTCTCTCCCTTCTTGCCCCCCCCCCCCCCCCCCCCCCCCCTCTTTGGGCCCCTGGGTTTCCGTCGTTGACGCAGCCGCTGCCGCTCGCTGCTGTTCCTGGGCTGGCGCATGAAGAGCAGGGCAGGGAGCTTGTTGAGGAAGATCAGTTTGACCCAGGGTGGCATGGTGTGTGTGGTTGGTGAGCGGAGTCCCCACGACCACGGACACGCTGACGAATCAGCACAGCAGAACAGAGGCTAGACACGGGGATTGGTGGGAGTTTGGGTTGGGGGTCATTTTTTTGTGTCAATGGTTCCAGAATCAGAACAATCTCACCCGTCACCTTTATAGGAACATTTTTTGCAACAAACGACTGTTTTTTTTGGTGTTCGGAGAAGAAAACAAAAAACACGTCACTCTCTTTCCTGCAACGTATCATCCAGATGTTTAACAGACTGGTGGAAACGTCTCCTCCTCGGCCCGTCCGCCTGTCTGACCCTCTGCCAGCCAATCGACATCTCCTGCTCGCTGCTGACTGCCTAATTGACCAATGATGCATTCAAGTGTACAACGTAACTCATTCACAGTATTGACGGATGTCGCCATGAGCTAATCAGAGAGGGAAGGGAATCGTCATGTTGCGGTTCTTATGCATCGATTTCTTTTTTTTTCTTTCGTAGAACTTGAAGTGACTCGAAGTAAACGTTGTCACAGCGGAGCAGCTCAGCTGTTATACCCACGCTACAAACACGGCTCTGTCGTCTGAGGCTACGAATGTGATGTTAACTATAATACTATACTACGTAGTACACAGCCTGTGACACACGTACACGATATGTGTCCTAGCAACGGAGCAGGAGAGGGAGGTTGTAGTGAAGACAGAGCCAGGACACAGTACTAGATAAAGACAGTTAGAGAGTATGCATGAATTGTTAGTTTGTTTTTGTTTTGTTTTTTTTGCAAAGATGTTGTGTACAGACCGTGAAGAAGAGTTGTATAACGCCCCCTGTTGGAGTAAGGAGTATTCAGAGTTCTGGTGGATAGAAACAAAGTTATATCAATGCTGAACAATGAGGATGGTTTTATAAGAATGGAGTTGTTATGTGTACTCATTTGGGATGTCAAATACTGCAACCTGAAGTACATGATCATTGCGCTACTAATATCACTGGTATCGGTATCTGAAAATATCTGATATCGCTATCTGATAAACATTCTTCTTTCCGTTTTTTTCAACCCCTCTTGTTCCACTGATGCGTTCGAGTTTTTTTCAACCCCTCTTGTTCCACTGTCTCGGTCTACAGTGACCTGTTTGTTCCCAGTGTCGTTCAGTCCACTACCTCGGAAAAAACTTCTTTTTTTTTTTTTTTTTTTTCAATCCCTTCTGATCAAAGGATGACAGTTACGGTGTTAACCTTGGTCGTCATTGTGCAGAGATTTTCTCGTCGCCCCAGACAGAAACACCAACACTGTCAACACGAAGCAATAAGTTAGAGACGTGACTCACATTCAGAAAAAGAGGCAAAACATCGTTCATATCCAGTAGAGGGAGTACGCCAGAGTTTTGTGTTAGCGTTAGTCAACAGTGAATACATCCCCCTTCCCCCGCATCTGCACCCCCCTCCCCCCTTCTCACTTGCATGGTCTGATAATATTCACAGTTTGAATTCCCTGAACCATGTCACCATATTATTACTTTCCATCAGTTTCATTCTAGTTTCACTCAGAAAAAAACAAAACAACAACAACAGCAACAGCTCTTCCAACAACTACTTGCTCACTGAATGCAGTATTACTGTGTACTGACTGTATACACAGCATGTTTTCACTCCTGGGTCATATATTTGCTGCTACACTCTAGGAGAAAAAAAATGCTGCAGCGACACTTTTTTAATTCAGGCCTGTTTTCATCATTGACCACAAATTTTAAAACGAAGTTTCTGCCAAATTGGCTCAAACCACACACACAAAAATTAATTAGAGAAAGCGATGTACGACACTGCTTTTTTTTTTACAATAATACATTGTAATTGTCAGAACTGACATAATCATCGATAATTTCTTAATTTGTAATAAAAAAAAACTTCTTATGACCCAATGTTTATGTCAAATTTACAACAAAAAACAAATTAATTAACAAACTAAAATTCGACTAATTTGTCAAAACTTAATAAAATTAACACAAATAAACATAAACAGTCCCTGATATAATCTTTTTTAATTAACAAACTAAAATTCGACTAATTTCTCAAACTTAATTAAATATAATAAAATTAATAAACACAAATAAACAGTCCCTGATATAATCTTTTCTTTTCTTGGCCCTTCACTGTAACTGTCAGAAATAAACATGCGGTTTTAGCCGCCGCGCTAATATCTACAACGGATAATATCGTAAATCCTTAATTAGAGATTTTGTATTTAGGGAAAGTGAAGCTAATTTTGCTCTGACCCCTAACAGAGTGTGCGTTACTGCCACCTAGTGGCCTATGTTCCCATACAGAGTAAACTCCGAAGCGCTGTTGGTGATGATCGCAGCAGCGTGCACGACAAACGTGACTACAATTATATTTTATTCCTACTCTAAATATTTCAGCATGTTTCACTTTTTTATTTGATCATCAAACCATATCAATCACAAGCACAATCCACACAGTGAACGAATCCAACATTGTGACATCATCCAGTCGAGCCGTTGAACCCAGGAAAACTACGACAAATCTGTGAAGGGAAATACTTCCCATGATTCTCTGCTGTGTTTTTTTATATTCGTCTGCAGCTCAACCTAGTGATGGACTGAGAGCTCGCTCTGCCTCCCTCCATTTCTTTGGCCTGTTTTTCTTCCTGTCTTTGTGTTCCTGGAGAATGACGCTAATTTAGAGGTTGCTGGAAAGATTCCCAGAACACGCCTGAGAGGCATATCGGAGACCTGTAAAAACTGTAGGCTGCTGGCTCACACGGACACAGTGCTGCTTTCTTTCCCTCTGACCTTTTCCTCTCTCCTTCCTTTTCTTCTCACTTCCTTCTCTCGACCGTTATCCTTCCCCTCCCCCACTCTCCCCCCCCCCCGACTCTATAATCTGCACACCTTCACCAGTCCAATAAAGGCTGTAGGTTCAGATTAATCGGAGTCTCCGTGTGTTTGTGTTCATACACATTAAACATTTGTCCCAGAAAACGCATGTTTTGTAAATGTACTGCAGTACCAAGACTGATACACATTAAACATTTGTCCCAGAAAATGCATGTACTGCAGTACCAAGACTTCCCACTAAACTTACACCACAGGAGAGTCTGACAGAAAGAAACACTTCCTGGTATTCTAAAGCTAAGGCTGGTAGCTTCCTCTACAGTACAAACACACACACCCACACACACTCATACTGGTTGTTTTGATTCATGAGCACATCACATACTGACATACTGTAATGCAGTGGTGCCCAATAAGAAGATCGGGATCCACCAGTAGATGGCGAAGGTTGTGCTGTTAGATCAAAGTACATCAACATATCATGTATGTATAAAGTATATTTAGTTTGTATGAGTAAATATATATTTAACGATTTCAGTGAGGGTAGATCACTTTAGCCTCACTTTATGAATTCTTTAGCTCGTTAGCTTATAGCAGTGGTTTTCATATTAAATGTCTAGTAATTGATTTTTTAAAAATTATTGATTTTTTTTTCAACTATTATAGTGTAACTAATAGAATCAATGATGATGAAAAAAAATCTCTGGAGATGCCAGAAATTTGTGATGTCAAAATAAGGTCACAAGTCAAAAAAGGTTAGGAACAACTTAACTATAAATATATGCCTAATCCTAATCTCTAACTGAATTGATCTGATCCTGACTACAAACTAAATATCAAACCTCAACAGACCACCACATTCAGTTGGGAC